GGCACCCAGCAGCAGCACCCATCCCATGAAATGGCTGCCCCGTCCTGCACAACCGTACCCCACCACACTTGTCCCTCACAAAGACCAGGGCAAGCTGAGCAGAGGCCTCAGCCTGTGAAGAGCATGGGCAGGTGGCAGAGGAAGCAGCAGTGTGGAGTGCATGGGCCCACAGCACAGAGGTGGGCAGCAGGCACAAGAAGAGCTAGAAAATTGTGGGAGCCCACACAGTGGGCCGGTAGGCGAGAGTGAGGGTCCCCACACAGGATGCAGATGTGGCAGGCAGAACAATGCCCACTATGCAATGGCACCTGGCTCTGGCCCTGGTTGCAGTGTGCCCAGCACTGGCCCACCAGCATCACAGCCCGCAGGCTGGGATCCAAGCGCAGGGCAGCCCCGTGTTGCAGCCCAGGCTAGGGGTCCCAGTGGGGGCAGCCCGGGACCCAGCACCAGCACAGAAGCCAGCTCCAGGCCTACCTCGGAGGCCCACAGCATTGCCAGCATGAGACGCAGCCCCAAGGGCACCCCCTCAACATTCCCTGGAGCCCGCAGCTCCCCACTGTCTGGACCCACCTCTGTGGAGGCCCCCATCTGTTTTCCTATCCTCATCTTCCCTTTGTGTTTAAACATGTTTCTCACTACGTGTTCTTAGTTGGATGATTCAGGACTCACCTACTCACCCCCTTCCACCTGTTACCTTCTGTAATGTCTCCTCTGCACACGTGGCAGTCATGGTTCAATTTTCAGTTGTGGGCAGCTATGAGTCCAAGAGTTCCCCTGACCCAACTTATTGTCTCATTTCTTTCAAAAGAGATCAAGCATCTGGCCCAGGCTTTAATGATGTCAGCCTGTGTCCCCCACAGTGACCAAATCTGTAGGATTCAGGCAGTGTACTGGTCAAGGGGGACACTGGTGTTGTGTGTTCCGTGAGCATTGCTCATGTCTACAGTTGCATTTCCTGGCATCCATCTGGAAGAGCACAGCGTGGAGCACCCAACCTCACGAAGTAAGCATCTGTGGGCACAGTGGTGAATTTGCAGTGCAGCCCTGCCACAGGGTCTGCTGATGAGGCTGTGTGTCCATTTGTTTTGTTTTATTTTTTTGGTACCAGGGATTGAACTGGGGATCTTGTGCTTGTGAGGCAGGTGGAGGAACCAGGGGGTTAAATCTCCAGCGAGCTGTGTTTGTATTTAGAAAGATTGCTAAGGGAGGATTCTTTACAGAGGAAAAGGCAAAAGTGTGGCTTCATACAGAGATCTTCCTGGTGACTGGGGTTTCTTCGGCCCCCTCCCTTGCTCCTCACTGGGGTCCTTCTTCATTCCTACCCTCGGCCATGCAGAAGGAAGGGACTCAGTGGGTTTTACTCCCTTTGTGTGTCCTTGGCCATTTCTGAGATGTATAACAAGTGACTCATCACAGACAGCACTTTCCATGAACTCTGACAGCTACTGCAAGCACCAGTCTTGGCGCAGCCACGCGTGTGAGATGGAGCCAATCCTCCTATTCACCTCAGCAGAGTGAATTTTGTGCTCCCTTACTTTTATGAGCATATGCTTGTGGTGCATAATAAGTACATTCATTGCGGGGCACCAAGTGCAAACTGCATCTTGGACCTTTAATTTCACCTTCCCCTCCTCACCCTCCCTGTGCTCCCTCCATCCCCAGATCCCCTTCCCATCTCTACAGTCTACCTTCCTGTTTCTCATCAAGTTTCTTTTGTCTCTAATTTATTTATACTTTGGGTTTTTCATTTAAGAGAAACCATGTTCTATTTAATCTTTTTGTGTCTGATTTACTTCACTTAGCATTATAGTTTCAAGGTGCATCCATTTTCCTACAAATGACTCAAGCTTATCCTTTTCACAGCTGAGCAGTACTCCACTGTGCATAGATACCGTGCTTTCTTTGTCCTTTCCTCATCTCATTAGAATTCTAAATGAAAAAAATCAAAGAGATCTGGGATTTCTTTATTTTTGTCTTGGAGATGAGCCACCGAATTTCTGGTCCTGAAATAAAAAACTGGTTTTCAGAAATCAGTTGGGAATACTGGGAATCCTGTCTTCCATCTCCCATTCTACACTCACCCTCCCAGCTGTCTTTCTTGGGGTCTTGTGTGTTCAGTCTTATATATGCTTAGTCGGGATGCTTGCCCTCAGGCCCTTACCATTTCCTGATCTGTCTAGCAATTCCTTAAATGTCCATTCCAATTTTTATTTGAAGAATCTGCTTCAAGGGTGATGTTTGGAGATGTATAAAACAAATGAACAAACCAACAAAACCCCAGAGCATTTCTTCCACTTGGCTCCTTCCATACTGCTTGTGCCTTAAAGTCCCTTCCTGTATTTCTCGTGGTGTGAACTGGGACCTGTTTTGGAGGGCTCTAGTCCAGGTCTCTATTCACTGAGGTCTCTCTATTCTCTTGGTCTGACTGAAGGCAGGCAAAGCTTTAACCAAAATAATTGTCACAACAGTTAAGACTCCCTCATCTCACCCCACAGAAAGCGGGAAGCCAGATCTGATCAACGTGCTAGCGACGTCTCCGGCTGTCCCAACTCCGGACATGGCCCCCAGCCCAAGGAAACGGTTCCCATTATTTCTTCAGTGAGCTACCAGGGTAAGGTGTGGGCTGTAGTAGAGCCACTCGTTTTGGAAACACTGGTTGTGACCCTCAGTGTCCATGTAGATGTGGGTCCACCCCTGAGGGGAGATGCTGGCCAAGGGAGCACAGTGGTATCTTGGTTCATGAACTTAATTCTTTCCATGATTTTGCACAAACCAAACTGGATGAGAAATGAATCAAATTCAATGTTTAGGTTCAATGTTGACCTTATGTGGAATTTGATTCAGTTCTCATCCAATTTGGTTTGTGACCAGAATTGTGGAGAGAATTAAGTTGTGAACTGAGGTACCATTGTAATTGCATTTGAGTGTGATAAGGAACAACAGTTCCCAGGCCTCTGGAATGCACGGTTAAGAGTTCAGAGTAGAATGTGCAGGATAGCAGTTGGCAGAATTAAAAAGTTTGTTCTCAGAGATGTTTGCTTTGGCCATTGATAAGATTGCCTTGATAAGATTGCCTAAACTAGGTCTACATATATCATGCAACAAACCATCCCACTCTGGCCCTGGCCCCTGAACAAAACTCCTGTACAATATGTTGCAAATGTTTTTCTTCTATATCTTTATTCTCATGTCCTTGAGTTACAAATAAATAACTTCAGAGGCCATCTCACTGCTGTTTCCCTGAAGCTCTCTTATGCTGAGGTAGCAGCCCCTCTGGGTCCTCTTGGTGACTGAACTGAGTCTTGTCTCCGAGTAATCTTTCTCATCCTCTATGCAGCCATGGTTGCACACTGTAACAAACCCCCAACACTTGTGTCTCTGGGCTATAGTTGGTGGACAGCAGCATGACCCGCTAGCAGGCCTTCCATGAGCAGGGTGGGTAGGATCTACCTGGGGACCATTACAGAGTTGTTGGAAATACTGAGTGATATATGTATGGGCAGCTCTTAGCAGGAACACAGTCATTGCTCAACACATGTTGCCTGAACTGTGTCAGAATAAACACCCTCCTTTAAACCTTGGCTCAGCAGGGCCTCACAACCCTCAGCAGCACAGATATAAAAAGTTACTGGAGTTACTCAAAATATAGGACCTTACAGTGATCTTTCCTTTCCACCTTCACACTTGATTTTTATGTCTACCATGTGAGTTCATGGAAGAATTATTGCCATTCCCATCAGATGATAACACTGAAGCTGATGGGATTAGGTGACCGTACCATGGCCACTGGAGCCATGAATTCATCTTATGACTACTAGTCCACTGTTATGTCCACTACACCATCTTGGTAGAAAACATGATTTGTACTTTAGTTATTCATTGGGATGGAGGAGGATGTAGAAGGAATTGGGATAAAAGAGGAGTACCTGGCATAGGAAAGAAGGTTGTATTAACAGTTGAACATCATTTCAACTGCCCAGCTGAAGGCCTTGGGCAAGGTACATAAGTTCTTCATGCCTTTGTTTCTCCATCTGTAAAACAGGATGATGATGATGATGATGATTATATATTCTATGTCTTAGTTACTTTTCTCATTGCTGAGACAAAATACCTGTTACCCAAAATTAAAGGAGGAAAGGTTTATTTTGGCTCACAGTTTGTAGAGATTTCAGTCCACAATCGGCTGGCTCCAAGGCAGGGTAGTGTGGCAGACAGGATCCGCAGAGGAGAAACAGTTCATGGCAGGCAGAAGATAGAAAAGCAAGCAAGGGACCTTAGCAGGCCTTTTATACTCCTATATAGGCTACCGGGATTAGGGCGGTGCCAAACCAATCAGTGGACTGACCTGTTACCTTTTATAGGGGCTTTCAAACAGCTTTCCTTTCCTGGGAACCCATACAAGAAGGCGCTTCCACGGAGACGCGTGCACACTGCACAGGACTCACAGAGAAGTTTTCCTGAGTAGATATGGACCTTATGATGAGCAGGGCACAGCAGGGCTTGGGGGAGGGAGGGCAGGCAATTTTTAACGAAGCCCGTGCTGAGGGGCAGTGAAGTTCTTCGAGGAGAGTATTAGGTGGACCAGGCTAGACTGGGGCGCATTGGGAACCGGAGGGCGGGGGGTCGGGGGACGCATCTGGAAGGTTTAGGAAACACCAGCTGTGGCGTGTAGAACGCGAGGAGGGTGTAGCGAGCCGGGGCGAGCAGGCGGCGGACCCCCAGACCCATCGTGTTAGAGCGCTCTTCTCTGCACAAGGTGCACATTTCCGAGCTCAGGCCCACGCGGCGACGAGAGATCCCGGGTGGGGGCGTCCACGCTGGGGCCGCAGCAGGGGAAGCTGGCAGTGCAGCCAGCGGCGCCGGTAGCTTCCGTCGGGCCCGCCCCTCCCCCGCCGACCGCATCCGCTCCTGCCCCCCGCGGGCCGCGCCGGGTCGGGCGCAGGCTGCACGGCGACTGCAGCAGGATCGCGGCGGCGGCGGCGGCGCAGGTGGCGCGGCGGGTGGGCACCGCGCGCCGGGGCCTCGCTCCTGATCCCCGCACGCTCGCACGCTGGGCCATGCCGCGCCCCGCAGCCGGGCCCCCCGCCTAGCCTCATCCGCGCCCGTGCCTGCCCCGCCGCCCGCCCGCCGGGGCTATGGCCGCAGAGGAGCTGCTGCAGAGCGTGGATCACTACAAGACGGAGATCGAGCGGCTGACCCGCGAGCTCACCGAGACCACCCACGAGAAGATCCAGGCTGCCGAGTACGGGCTGGTGGTGCTGGAGGAGAAGCTGACTCTCAAGCAGCAGTATGAAGAGCTGGAGGCCGAGTACGACAGCCTCAAGCAGGAGCTGGAGCAGCTCCGCGAGGTGAGTCGCGGCCGACCCGGCCCGCTGGGTCCACGGTCGGAAGGGATGCGATCGGAGGGGCTGCATCTTAGGGCCCTTTGTTGATAAGACTGAGAAGTCCATTGTTTTCTCCTCGAGGGAAAAAGTGCCCAAGAAATGAAGGTGTAAGCAGGAATTTGGGAGGTGCTGCTGGCTTGGGGAGCCCATGGGGGAGGGACAGCCTCAGTCCTCAAGTACCGGTGCCCCAGGGTGGCATTGAACTGGCTTGGAGGAATAAATCAAACTTCCCCGAACTGCTGTCATTTTGAATCCAGGTTTCAGCGATAATCCCATGACCCGCAGAGCTGATGAGTAGGTTTGTGCCCGGGGAACCGCAATTCCAGGGCATAGGATCAGTGATACCTCAGCTTTCTGCTGAATGTAACCATTCTTGGGTGACAGGAGACTCATCTTAGGAGAACTTGCCAATCCGAGCTGACAAAGGCTGGCAGGCTTGGTTCTCCTCGGGTTTGGTCATTCTTGTCCTTGGGCTGTAGCAGCAAAAACAACTTTGCTGGGTGATCTGCCTTGGGCTCACCTCGGAGCCCAAACCCTAGGAAATCATCCTGACCAAGGACCGTGGAACCCCCTCCCAGAGGTCTGCAAGGATGGTGTATGGCAGAGATGTGGGTAGCCAGAATTTCAGAGGAGGCTCTCCAGATGAAACGCCTGTATTTACCAAATCAGAATATCACAAATGGGCCATGTATAACATTTGTCCTCTTTAGTCTCTTGGTATTTGGCTGACTAATGAACTGGAGGACAGCTTTGATCTCCCTACGTATTGTTTAGGGCACTCTGTTTTTAACTCATTCTTTTGGCGCTGGAGGGGCAAGTAAACAAGTGTACAAACACACTGCATTTCTGTGTAGCAAGCCTTTACCTTTAGGTGCATTGTGGCATTTTAGATGTTCGGCATATAATATCAAAAAATTTTTTTAATAATGTAACTTTGTTTTAGTGGAAGGGTAGGTTTTGTTTTGTGACATTACAATTAAAAGACATGATTTATGACATGTCCAATCATGTCTTCTACTTCAGTATGTAATGTGGTAAGCATTTATACTTTCAGATATCGTATTTTTATTCACTTGGCTAAATAAGAAAAAAAAATAAATGTAGTATGGTTAAAAATCCAACCAGAAATACAATTTTTGTGCATTAGGCTGTAAATTTCTAGACGATGCTTTTCTTGCTGTGTCTGTGTCTGGTCTGAACAACAGCTGGACTTGTTTATATTTTCTGGCTCATATTAGGTCTTGGGCTGACGTGTTTAAATGCTGTGATGCTACCTGGTGGAGGAGGAAGGAATCAGAAGATGCTTGTAATTCTCAGAGATATTTTGGTGTTGTCTTCACCTCTCAACAGTGCTTTGCCAAGGTGAAGTGCAGACCAGACAGGACTAGGCCATCATCTCCTTAGTAAAGGAGGGGAGTTTTTCTCTAGTGAGATGTGGCTGGCCTTCCTGCTTGGTTTAAAGGGCCCTTGCGGGGATCTTCAGTGTTGTTGCATATCCCTACACAGTAAACCTTAATGTGGCTGTCTTTTGCCTTTAACAGACCATGGGCTTTTCAGGCAAGGAATCACTTAGCTATTTATTTATTTTACCTAAACTTAGATAAAATTGTATATATGTATTGTGTACAACATGATATTTTGAGGTATATACATTAGGAAATGGTTAACTCTAGCTAATTAACAAATGTTTTATCTCACATGGTTAGCATTTTTGTGACCCACTCTCTGCATTTTTCAAAAATGCAATCTATTGTCATTAACCATAGTCACCATGCTATATAATAGCTCTCTTAAATGTATTCTTACCATCTACCTATGATTATGTATGTTTTGACCAACATCTTCCCGACTTCCCCTGCCCCTAATTGCCCCAGCTTCTGGTAACTACCATCCATTGTACTCTCTACTCCTATGAGAATAACTTTTTGATTTCCCATCTGAAGGAAATCATGAGGTCTTTGTCTTTCTGTGCTTGGATTATTTCACTTAATATAATGAACCTGAAGGAATCTTAGTGCACATCAAATCCTAAGTCTTTAGCAGTAGCTTAGCACATAGTAGATGTGCAATAAGTATTTTGTGGAAGAATCGATTTCTGCTGGATCAAGTATTCACTAGTCAGTATTGGTTGGTGTCAGAAAAAGACTAAGAAAATTAGGATGTATGAAGTGACTACTTGTATTAGTTTCATCTACAGTAATGAGAAAAAATGCTTGTGGTTTCCTAATACAGAATAATACAGATACTAATTATATACATTTTTCTATAAAATTTTAGAGCAGTTTTATTCTGTATAGCAGGAGCTTGACAAAAATCTATCAGGATTATTTTTAGCAAATAGCATTGAATCTGTATATATTTTCAGTTACATTTAACATAAGTAAAATTCAATTTAAAGTTCTTAATAAACTGGCTTATATAAGTATATAAGTGTATTTATGCTAATAAAATAATCATTATATCTAGTTATTTGATAGCAAGACCTGTTATTTTTGTTCTTTAAACATGCCTATGTGTTTTTAGTTTGAGTATTACTTAAATGAGCTTAGTGTGGCTGTTTGAAAAGTAATTGTGCAAACAGGTATTTTGATGATGTCATGTAGAAGCCATTTTTGAAAACCATTTTGTGAATGCTTTGATTCTTCAAAGAAAGTTTTGTTCGTTATCAGGAATATATAGTAAAAAATGTTTTTACATTATAACTAGAAAGCCAAATAGAAGAGAAATATTTGGCTTATTTTGAGGTTCTTTCAACAGATATGATTCATTGAAAAATAAATGGACCAATGTATGGTAGTGTCAACAGAAACTTACTGCACTACATCCGAAAGGGACCCTGGGAATTTCCGCCTGAGTGACATGGCTGGTCCCTGGAGATCATTCTGTTTGCCAGAATTAGCACCCAGCAAGGTTGCCACCTCCTTCCAAGGCCGGGTACTGTGATGACAGGAATGCAGGGGGAAGTGTTGCCTGAAGATGTGCAAAATCAATAGAAGAACTCATTAATATTTTTCTAGTTATTTCTTCCCTAGACCCAGTTGCTTTTTGTGCTGGTCCGATACTATTGAGGGCTTTGCCTTTGCTTAGCTGTGTGACTGCTCACTTGAAAACACCAAGGAGCTGAAAAAAGAGTGACTTGTTACATCATGATAATGTTCTTCTTTTTATTATCCTCTGGGCAGCTGGACAAAGCATCTTGTCCACTAGAATCCTTGACTGTGGATTTATGATTTCACAAATGATGCTCTCTCTTCTGGGGCTGAGGGGCCCACCTGCCCAATTACAGTCAGAGCCTGGCTGATTTTGTGTTTGGGATGTGCGTAAATCAGGGCTTTGTGTCTGTCACTCAGGCCAAAACAGTGTTTGAAGACAGTCATGATTCTAAAATAACTTGACAACTAAGACTATGCATCCATCAAATACCCTAGATTTGAAATTTAAAATTTTTTCTCTTACTTCCAAATGGTTAACATTTAAACACAAATTTTAAAGAGATACCTTCAAAAGGAATGATTCAGCATTACTGGTAGCATTGTGTGACGTCCTCAAAAGAGGCAGGATACTAATACACTTCAACTCATTTTCAGACTCCTTTTCTCAGCCTGGACCCCTCGTATAGGCACCAGCCACTGAAGTACTTCCGGGGCATTGAGCAGCTCTTCCTCTTGGAACTTCTTCAGGACTGTAAATCATTCAACAACTGAACATTTACGAGTACAGTTTTAGAGATGATTGGATTAGGGATCTGATGAAAGCCATTTAAATTCCCTGGATTCATCTTTAAACAGGTTCTCATATGCTCTGACAGATTGTCAGCTTATTTTATATCTGCAAATTCAAAGTCACAAAATCTTATGAGGGGAACCCCCAGATTACTTTTCTAATCGCTGAATGAAAATGATGAGAAAGTTAATGCTCAGTTGATTTACCTAAACTATTTTAAGTTCTTGTGTTTTTAAAGAAGGTATGTTTACATTTATAATGAAACTAACAAAAATTAAGTTATCAGTTTATAGTTTTGGAAATGGTTTACCGATACTTTCAAAAAATCACTTTTAGTCACATCTTTTATTTTGATCCAGTTGCTCACATTTGGAGCTTTCCTCCTTTTTGTTTCATTTCACGTTTTCGTCTCTGGCAAAAGGCATTTCTCAGGTGCCATATGGCCAGATTTTGTAGTCTTCCTTCCACCATGTTTATGTGAGTATGTGAACCAGCATACTTTCAAGGTTTTTTTCAGGATTGCTGGCTTACAAATATCCTGTCCTTTTATCCCTTTTAAGAGCTTGTAGTTTTGCCTATTGCATTCCAGATTTGGAAATGTAGTAATTACTTGCATATTGATACGTGTGGTAAAGGTGTTTCTACACAGCAAGTTCTGCCAGTAGTTGTGGCTTTGAAAGAGAGAAGCAGGTGAAGATTTTGCATCTTCTTGGTGTTGAACGGTCTGTGTCACTGACGGAGACGTATGGGCTCGGAAGGAGAAGCCGCTGGGAAAGTGGAGGCCATAGCAACAGCTCGTCCTGGGGGTAGGAGCCGGGGAGGGGAAACGAAACAATAGTTGTGTTTGGGGCCTGGTATCTTATCTCATTTAATTTTCAAAATAATTCGGAGATTTATTGCTCATTTATACCTTGAAGAAAACAGTAAAAATAATTAAGTATTAAACTCTATATGAGGCCCGACTGAGGCCTAGGTGACTTGTAGGCCTCATTTCTCGTTTTTTATAAAAATCTTTACTCCGAAAAAAAAGTTTCCATACATATCACAACGTGGAGAAACTTAAAAACATTATGCCAAGTAAACAAGCCAAACACAGAAGGACAGATGCTATATGGCTCCACTTCCATGAAACACCTAAATAGATAAGTTCATAGAGGCAGAAAGTACTGGGTTAGAGGTTGCCAGGGGTTAATTCCCTCCAGCTGGGCCACACTTCTGCACGGAAACTGCCTCTCTATAGG